TGTGAGGGCTGCTCTCATCCTGGTATTCTGGCGCTTCAGGGCAGGGGACAGCAACTCACAAAGTTCGAGGAAAGTCCCCTTCCGCATGCGAAAGTTTCGCAGCCACTGGGATTCATCCCAGACCTGAAGCACTATACGGTCCCACCAGTCCGTGCTTGTTTCCCGGGCCCAGAATCGCCGTTCCACGATATCCACATGACCCATTGCCACCGTGATGTCCTGGGCGCTGGGGCTCGTGGTTTCTGACAGCTCTGTGCTACTCTCCGACTTCAGGCCATCACGGCGGTGTCGTAGCCTCCTCGCCTGATTACTCTTCATCTGCCTCAGGGAAAGGTGTATGATAAGCTGCGAGGTGTTGAGAACGGCCAGAAGTGCAGCGATGGTCGCAGCGTGATCCATGATCGCAGTGCTGTGGCGTCCGCGCTGTCACTGACCAGAAAAGTGCGCGAACTGATTTCCCGCCGGCGCTTTCATGGAGGGAGGGAGGGCGTTAGTGACGGACGGATGACGACAAATTTTTTTTACCCAGAAGGCATTGGCGGCTCGACCCAGAATTCCGATGGGCAGCGGGGACTGCGGGAACTGTGGGATAGCTGCCCACAGTGCACCGCTTCCAATATCGACGCTCGCCCCGTTAGTGTGGACTCACAAAGTCGAATTACTGTCCTTAGTGTGTCCTTAGTGTGGACACACACGTTCGACTTTGCAATATCGATTCCACATATTCGATTTAAGTAAAATCGAATTACCCTCGTAGTGTAGACATACCCTAAGAAACAACCCGTACGTATGAAATGCTTTGTCTCTCTGTTTAAATTCTCACTATTGATAACGCTGGTTAAAGTTTTTCCCATAAAAAGTTTTCCCATTAAAAAACAGGGTTTAGTAAAAATGTTCACAGGGAAATGTCATTTTTGTCACAGTGTTTCAATTTCACTTTGTGAAATTTCATAACAAAACAAAAATTTCTGTTCACTTTGAGATTTTTGTTTTAGTTTTCAAATTCTAAAATGTTTTTGAAATTTCAAATTTTTGTTTTTCCACTTTCTCCCCCTTTTTTGCCACTGAATAGACTAGAAGGAATTATGTCTAGGATTGATTTTTAGATGAACCTTTTCCTTTTATATCCTTTTTCCTTTTCTTACTTTGTAACTTTTCTAAACTTCCTCAAGTCTGATCATGCTTTCCGCCCTCTACGTGGATACGAGTGGCTTTTTCCACGGCAATGTGTTTGTTCCCTTCTGGCACAGTGTTTTTCATATATACAATACAGATAGCATGAAGTAAGTGTCTTCCCTGAACAGATCCATCAGGCAACTACCCTCTCTCCTCCAAATCCTTCAAAACACATTTTTGTTTCAATGCCAACAAGAAATGGCATTATTATGTGGCATTTGGTTGCAGCTCATATTTATTTATGTAATAAAACACTTTAAAAAAGAAAACATATTTGTTCACAATAATCCCTATATTCTGAGAAATATGCCCTTCCACTCCTCCCTTTGTATGTTGGCTTAGAGTGCAAGTTCTCTGTGGCAAGGCCCAATTCCATCTCTGTGTTTGTACAGTGCCCTGCACAACAATCCTGAGGCAGGAGTCTATGGGTGCAATACCAACATCTATTTATCTCGTGTATCTATTTAACCCCCATTCCTGTAATATCTGAGCTCCTCATAAGCTTTCGTGTATTCATCATCACTGCTTCCTTGCAAGGTAGGGCAGTGCTATGATCCCATTTTACAGATTGGAAACTGAGGCACTGAGAGGCTAAGTGATGTGTCCAAGATCACAAAGGGAGTCTCTGACCGAGCAAGGAACTGACCTCAGTTCCAGGCTAGCACCCTAACCACTGGGGCATCCTTTCTTTCAACATTCCTGACACAAAGGGCCTGAGATCCGCTTATGGTCTTATGTGACTATGCCACTATTTTGAAAAGTTTTGTCACAAAGTTGCAATGAAACAATCTGAGGTGCGCCTTAAGAGAGACAGTTAAAAGGACAGTCAGCTCAAAACTCACATTACTATTATTACCATCAACATCCTAGAGCTCTAAAAATCAGAAGAGCAAAGAACAAATTGTATTTCCTCTAGGTTTTCAGTTCACTGCCTGCGTTCCGCAGTGCTTTGCATACGGCGATTTTCTCTTCTTTGTTACTAGTCAGATTTACTTCCTAGTAGCAGGACCTCAGCCTTTTTAGGCACTGCTCTGGGAGCCCACACGCACACTTTTCCCTGTACAGTAACAATGAATGTAACAATGCAGCCAGTGATTCATAGATTTTCATAGATTCTGTCTCAGAGGTTGCTTGCCTTACTGCCAAGCAATTACTTCTCATTTTATATACACGTTTAATTTATTAATTTCTAAGTAATATAACGTTAATTGTTGTCAAACGAAATGTCTAGCATTTTGAGATCTACTGATGAAAAGTACCTATGTAAGAGCTAACTATTATCATTATTATTATTATTAACATTCTGATAAGATTTTATTTTTAGTGGAAACGTCACTTAGATTTTGTTTTCTCTGGATAAAGACAAGTAAATTGATTAGATGGGAGGAATCCATAATTTTTGGATTTATCCAAATATCAAATAGTAATTATCAGTACCAGCCTAAGTCTCCTCTAAGCTGCATGGCCATGCAGCAGGCTATCAAGGGCCGCGCAGACAGGGAGAGGCACTCCTCCCCTGGCCCAGCCCAGCCAGAGCTGCTGCAGCTGGGGAGAGGCACCCCTCCCTCGGCCCGACACAGCCTAGCCCTGCCGCGGCTGTGGAGAGGCGCCCCTCCCCCGAGCTGCTGTGGCGAGAGACAGCTGGAGGGAATCTTCTCTACCCACCGCAGCCCTGGGGCAGCCTGCACCCCAAATCCCCCATCCCGAACCCCACCCCAGAGCCCCCACCCCCAGCTGGAGCCCTCACCCCCTCCACTCTTTAACCCTCTGCCCCAGCCCTGAGCCCTCTCCCACACCCCGAACCTGTCATCCCCAGTCCCACCTCAGAGCCTTCACCCCCAGCCAGAGCCCTCACCCCCCCCACACCCCAACTCTCTGCCCCAGCCCTGAGCCCCCTCCCACACGCCGAACCCCTCGGCCCCACCCCCACCACACATCACCTCCATATTGGTGCACATACACAAAATTCATTCTGCAAATGGATGTAAAAAAAATTAGAGGGAACATTGGTACCAGCAGATACCAAATATGGTCTCTGGATACTGATAACTGTCTAGGAGAGAGATGCAGGAATTCTCTGGGACCAGGGTGAAGGGAGACAGCCAGAGCAGAAAGCGTTATGGGGGGAGTGTGTTGGGGGTGTCTTGGTATTGTGACCAGGGTTGCAGAAAGGATAAGGTATCATACCAGGTCTCTGATGAGCAAGTGACAGGAAGCAAAGGTGAAAGTAGCACTGTGAAGCCCAGCTGAAAGTCAGAGCCATGAAGAGCAGGGTGAATGTGTATCAGGAGAGGATGTCCAGGGAGACTGGAAATAAAGTATGCTGCATGACTTAAACATGGTGGCACATTTCTAACACACATACACAGTGTGAATGAAAATGCTTTTTACTCTGTTATTCCTTCTTGCCCTTTTACTTTATAATATTTGACATCATTCAACGAAAGAGAAAAACAAAGCATTTTAAGTTTTCATTTAAAATATCCAATGGGCCCTTTCTCCACCCTTCACAAAAGATACATTTTTAGGGCCCTTCCTTTTCAGTTTTTATTTTATTTCATTTTTCCCGGGAATTTATCAGTGTTTATTACCACAACAACAAAAACAGGTGAAAATCAGTGCAAATAACTATTAATAATTTTTCTGGCTAAATATCGGGGTTTATTTTGGTGAACAGAAAGACAGGAGAAAAAAGTATTTAGTAGATCAATGCTTTGACTTTCGTTCATCAATGTGGTTTGCTGCAGAACTAAAACAGAACTCAAAACACAATGCCACCTCTGACTTTAAGAAAACAATAGATCTCTAATCCCCAAATAAAACTTTTCATTTGAATAAACAGTTTACTGTTGTAGACTTAGAACTATTAGCCTTTAAATATTTACATTTAATAATTGGGCCACACCATTTGCACTGCATTGTTATATTTGCATACACTCAACTTCATCCTTTTCTCTTGTTTTTTAAAAACTTTCGAATACTTCCTTGTGTTCTGAAACGTATTCTGATACAGATTTTCATTTTCTTCCTATTTTAGTATGTCAAATCTTTAAACCATTATCTGCTAACAGCTTGAAATGTGTTTGTGGTGGGCATGAGATTCATCAGTACGTTCAGATGCACGCGCACTTCAGTGCTTGCGTGCAGGCCTGTTTGCTTATTGTGTGTATCTTCTAGACTAATACATAGTCTGACTTCAATAGGCAGCTTTGCATATACACAGACTAATGTATTATTGTCATACATGTATCTCATGCAATGTATTGTATTTTCCTAATAAAACAAGTTATTTTTTTATATATTTGAATGATACCAAAGTAGAGTGAAAATCAGAAAAAAAACAATAATATTTTTTGTAAAACCCGGAAATTTTTTGGCAAAAAAGGTTTAAACTGAAAACGAAGGGGCTTATACATTTTATAGTGTCAATAACACTACTTTATATGCATTATTATCCTGTACCATTTTCTTGTATGGTTCAAAGTAATGCATCTGTAGTATGCAAGTCTGGCTCAATACACTTTCTGTCCTACCTTATAGCAGCTAGAGTGCAACACAAGAATCTGTGGAACCCTCTCAACAAGAAGGAAACAGATTGGGGAGGGTGTTATTTCACTCTTTTCCACCTTGTTAAAAATAAACCTTTATAAGCCTTTCCAAACTACTGTATGTCATATTCTGGGCCCACAAACAGTAATTTAGATCTGAGGAAAGGCGGAAGAAAGATTTTCCACAGAATAAAGCTCAGGTTTGTTACTTTCTTCTCCTTCTTTTGCTACCAAATAAAAATAAAGTTTTGATTCTTAGAGTAGCTCACACTCTACCTGTGCATGTTAAAGTGCTTTTTACCCAAACACCTTCTTCTGTGCAAACTGAAATATTGTTTCCACCAGCATATTCAAATCCCTTCTGACATGAATACTGCACCACACTTCCAAGACTCGAACTGGGATTCCACACTAGCTCAGCATGTTGTATTGGTGGAGGAATGCCACAGTCTACTTCTGCAATGAAAAACAACAGGAAGTTAACGTGTTCATATTCCTTGGGAAAGAAGCCATTTTCAAATAAGTTACTCTACACTAACTTGTGACAAATTTACATTTAATTAAGGGTGATGCTCTTTTCAAAAAGGAGATGTAAGGTCCAAGCGCAATTGTGTGCCTACATTTGCATATGCAGCATGACACAATGCACATGCAAATGGCTGATTTGTCATCTGCCCTCTGTCAGTGGAATTGTGCATGTATCTAGAAGGACCAGAATGGACTGACTACACCCAGTGAAAAAGGAGACGGCCAAAGGATCACACCCTCAGAGTCAATGTAAAGCCAGCTATCGGCAGAAGCTTCTCGCGCTGGCCTAATCCTGAGAGATGCTTAGCACCAATGACTCCGAATAATGTCAATTATTTTAACAGAGTTTTTGTATTTAATTACATCTCTCATTCAATTTACATTTTTTTGGTACCAGGGATTTCAACAGACTGACAATGCAAATTAAGGGAGTTTCACTGCAATTGCAACAAGAAAAATGGGGGAACGTGGTTATTTAACAAAGAGCATAGTCTCAAAGGGTATTTCTTAACCTCCCTCTCAGTTCTAATTAGGTTATTCATTCCATGAAGTCCACTTACCCTTAAGGCAGTTGAAAATGGAAAGAAATAATAGAAATTTTGTAGCTGTGCATGGATTTTTCCTCATTTTAATGGGAATTATTAATTACATGGAACCTTAAGATCATATTCATCTGAAAGGCATCATTACTGAAACAGACATTTCATTTCCTCTGAAAGTCATCAGTAACCTCCTTTGAGTGAAATATTTTGAGTGAATGTTAAAAATGTTAGTGACATATTTTTAAGCTTTGCATTGCTTTTTTTCCCCTAGCTCAGCCAAAGCTATCAGAGCTGTTTCTTTAAAATTTCTCCATTATTCGAATTATCCTTGTGCATTCCAGAGAAAGGCTTTTTTATTTTAAACTCTCTGGAACAACTACTAGGGCTAACTTCTGCACTTTTGCCTCCCATTGAAAACTCTCATTGGCCATCTTGCCTGAGAGTGGACTACAGATTCAAGCCCCTTTGCTGTGGATGATCACAGTTAAGATCTTGATCCTGCAAACATGTATACACCTCGTTAATTTTACACACCATGAGTAGTCGTATTTGTGACGTTGCACTCCATATGATTTTATAAAAATATGCTAATGAGTGTGAATATAATGTAACTAGAATATGTTTCATGCAAAAGGTCTTTTGTAAGATATCATTACAAAGCTTATAATCTACTGAGTGTGTTCATCCTATTTGAATAAATGTATCATTCTTGTATCTGGAACTAGAAATATGAAATATAACTCCGAGGTCCTATTGTAATGATGCAAAGTGTGGGCCATTAATGGTGGTTTGGAATCTTGTTGGCTCCCATTAACCAGAACAATTGACTGTAGATGGCTCTGTTTACTTGCAAGCCTTCCTGTGAGTCAGGCCAGGAAGAATGAAGGCTTGGGTTCTCATAGGACATGTGACCATGTCACCTGGTACTGGAATCCATCTTAAACCTGGTGCTTTTCCATTTAGAAGGAGGGGTGGGGACCCAGAGAGACAAAAGATTCCCGCCTTGTGCCAAAGCTATAAAAGGGGGTGGAACAGAACAAAGGGGGCTGCAGTCATGAGAAATCCCCCAGCTACCACCTGAGCTGGAACAAGGACTGCACCAGGGGAAAGGATTGGGCCCAGACTAGAAAGGAGTCTCGTCTGTGAAAGAAGTTTATTGGAACATCTCTGAGGGTGAGATTTTATCTGTAATTAGGCTTAGACTTGCATGTTTTTGTTTTATTTTGCTTGGTAATTTACTTTGTTCTGTCTGTTATTACTTGGAACCACTTAAATCCTACTTTTTATATTTAATAAAATCACTTTTTACTTATTAATTAACCCAAAGCAAGTAATTAATACCCAGGGGAGCAAACAGCTGTGCATATCTCTCTATCAGTATTATAGAGGGTGAACCATTTAGGAGTTTACCCTGTATAAGCTTTATACAGAGTAAAACGGATTTGGACCCTATTGGGAACTGGGTGTCTGGGTGTTAGAGACAGGAGCATTTTCTAAGCCGTTTTCTGTTAAGTCTGCAGCTTGTGGGGGACATGGTTCAGAGCTGGGTCTGTGTTTGAGCAGGCTAGTGTGTCTGGCTCAACAAGACAGGGTACTGAAGTCCCAAGCTGGAAGGGAGAACTGGCTCAGAGGTAGTCTCAGCACCATCAGGTGACAGTCCCAAGGGGGTCTTTGTGACCCAAACCATCACAGTGTTGACTTCAATGCAACTACCCAAAGTGTGTAAAATTAAGCAAGTATGTATATCTCTGCAGGTTGGAGGCCTGTGAAGCTGTAGCAGTCCCAGGCACGTTTCCAATCTTTAGGGAAAACATGCTGACATTATAAGGTAGAAGAACATCATCTGCAACAGACAGCAAATAATGATGTACAATCTGAGAGAGGATTTGTGACACCTCTACCCCAATGGCACAAAAGAGTGCAATGTTCAATACAAAAACTGAAGTCTAAAACATCTGTTAATCTTGCACTATATTACTACAAAGGCAGTCTCTAAATCTAGATGATGACATTGATTATAAGCATCTCTTTTTGAGGCTAATTCTTTGATAGAGAAAATCCCTTCAGGCTGAAACTTGGCACAAAGGGTCTAGAAGTCTGTTGTGGCTTTTAGTTACGAGTGTACAAAACAGGTTGTGTTTCTACTGCCCTTATTCCCTGGGGGTAAAGATGGCAGGATCAGGCCCATACAAAAGGTCTTCTGATCTTCTATATCAGGGGGTAGGCAACCTATGGCACGCGTGCCAAAGGCGGCATGCGAGCTGATTTTCAGTGGCACTGTCATAACTATAAAGAGAAGGGTAACAGCCCTCCTGTGTACCATACTATAATCCCTCCTGGCCAGAGACACCAAAATCCTTTTACCTGTAAAGGGTTAAGAAGCTCAGGTAACCTGGCTGACACCTGACCCAAAGGACCAATAAGGGGACAAGATACTTTAAAATCTTGGGTCGGGGGCAGGCTTTTGTTTGTGCTCTTTGTTTTGGTGGTTGTTCGCTCTTGGGACTGAGAGGGACCAGACATCAATCCATGCTCTCAAAATCTTTCTGAACAAGTCTCTCATATTTCAAACTTGTAAGTAAACAGCCAGGCAAGGCGTGTTAGTTTTATCTTTGTTTTCTCAACTTGTAAATGTACCTTTTGCTAGAGTGTTTATCTCTGTTTGCTGTAACTTTGAACCTAAGGCTAGAGGGGGTTCCTCTGGGCTCTTTAAGTTTGATTACCCTGTAAAGTTATTTTCCATCCTGATTTTACAGAGATGATTTTTACCTTTCTTTCTTTAATTAAAAGCCTCCTTTTTAAGAACCTGATTGATTTTTTCCTTGTTCTAAGATCCAAGGGGATTGACCTGGATTCACTAGGAATTGGTGGGGGGAAAGGAAAGGGGGGGAATGATTAATTCCTCCTTGTTTTAAGATCCAAGGGGTTTTGGATCAGTGTTCACCAGGGAATTGGTGGAAGAGTCTCTCAAGGCTACCCAGGGAAGGGACTTAGCACATTGGGAGTGGTGGCAGCAAAAGCAGATCTAAGGTGGTAGAGAAGCTTAGAGGTTTTCATGCAGGTCCCTACATCTGTACCCTAAAGTTCAGAGTGGGGAAGGAACCTTGACAGGCACTCACACTGCCCGAGTCCTGGCCACTGGTCCGGGGGACTCTGCATTTTAATTTAATTTTAAATGAAGCTTCTTAAACATTTTAAAAACCTTATTTACTTTACATACAACAATACTTTAGTTATATATTATACTTATAGAAAGAGACCTTCTAAAAACGTTAAAATGTATTACTGGCATGCAAAACCTTAAATTAGAGTGAATAAATGAAGACTGGGCACACTACTTCTGAAAGGTTGCCGACCCCTGTTCTATATGCTAAAAAAAAATTCCTTGGCTTTTAAAATAAAATTTTGCAGGTCATAAATTCATTATGCAGACTCGGTAGTTATGCCAATTTCTTTTTAAAATGAAAAATGAAACAAACATGAAGGTAAAGGAAGAATGTGGCCATAACATCTTGCTGCAAGTTAGCATGGTGCTTACATTTTTTAGAACTGCCATGTGTGCATCATGTAAGCCTGACATCCCAACATGTTGTGGATTAACCCCTACAAAGTAAACGAAAACAGGCTTTTTTGGCTTTCCATCTATCCTAGTTTCAGGACACAAGTTTTACTCCTGAGGGCATTCTGCGCCAAAAAATTAAAAATTCTGCACACAATATTTTAAAATTCTGCAAAATTCTGCACATTTTATTTGTCAAATAAATGTGGAGGCTCCAGCATGGCATTGGAGAGCACAGGTCTGCACAGAGGTGGGAGATCACTGTGCAGCTCCCCTCTCCCCCGCCCCGGGCACGGACTCAGCGGTGAGGCTGCAGCCAACTCTGACACAGCACAAGGACCACGCCTGCCCCCAAAACACCCCAGAGCCCTGCCCCTCCATACTGGGTGCACCAAGTATAGGCAGGCAGGCTCAGCAAGGCAGGATCCAAGTGTGGAGGGGATCCAGGTGTGGGTTGAGAGGGTTCTGTCTGGGGCAATCTGGGTGCGGGCAGCTGAGTGGGGGATCTGGATGTGGGGGGGATCCAGATGCACAGGCACTTGTTGGGGGGTGGGACTGGGTGCAATGGTAATGGGACTCTACAAGAGGGTCCAGGTGAAGTTGGTTGGGGTTCAGCGGGGAGGGGGGTCCGGGTGTGAGAGGGATGGGGCTCGGGAGGGGGGTCCAGATGCTGGGAGACTGGGACTCAGTGGGGTGGGGATCCAGGGGGCTCGTTGGGGTGGCCCAGATGCAGGGGCAGTGGGGCTCGTCGGGGGGGGAGGGTTCTGAGTGTGGAGGGGGGAGGGAGTGAGGCTCAGCAGGAGGTTCTGGGTATGAAGGGGTCTGGATGCATGAGGGTTGTGTGGACAGGGGAGCAGCTCTCTGTACAGTGATCCTTCCCACTGCAGCTGAGGAGCAATGGGTGCAGGAATCGGGGGGGTGGGGTGGGAGTTTGCAGAACTTCCTGCAGCCGGAGGAGAAATCTGGGGGTGGGTCTGACCCAGCCCCGGATGTCGTGCAGGGGAAGAGGAAGTCCCGTCCTCCCCAACCCAGCCCGGACTACCAGCTGAGCCCAGCGCAAGGTAGGACCCACCAGCCAGGTCTTCCCCAGTCCCGCCTCCCACCCCACAGTGATTTACTTCTCTCCCGGCTGCCCTGGGCACCTGAAACATACTGCTGGGGAGAGTCGCATGACCTCTCTTATGGCTTCCCTTTGCTTCCCCGTCGGAAAGTCATTTTTCTGTGGGGAAGCAAAGAAATCTGCGGGGGACATAAATTCTGCACATGCGCAGTGGTGCAGAATTTCCCCAAGAGTAAAGTTTGAAGCTGAATTAAAAACACATCTACAATTAAAAGGCAGAGGATTTCATTACACTCCTACCTATACATATTAGAGCTGGAATTTCCCAGGATCCATTATAAGTACAACGTGACGTATTCCTCCCACTTATGCTGCGGAATCCCTTTTTACATTGGTAGTGCACTGCACTCCCCAGCTGGGAAATGTTGTTCCAAATCATGTCTGTGTTGGGGATTGAAGGAGGTCTGCCACAATCTGTTACTGAAAAAGATCAAAAACAATTTTCATGAAAAAATGTTTGCTAGTCCGTGTTAAGAAATTATTTAGTGTAGTCACTAAAAGTGAACCCTTAGGAGCATGTGAAATATAAAATCCATTAGGAAAGACAAAACCTAACTATAAAAATGACATTATGGGATTCTTCTCAAGGACTCCTTTTAATCAAAAAACATCTTTTTATTTCTAACCCAAGCAACTAACAGCCAGCCTTGCACATTCAGCTTTGGATCTGAAAGTCAACCTGGGTTCTTTCCTTCTGGTTCATCACCACAAACAGTACAAATTCTGCACGTCGCCTTCTTCCTTTGCAACGACCCTGCAATTGAAACCTCATGAACAAGTCTGTTGATATGTGAGCCAAAAAAGAATCCAGTTCCTTGTCCCACAGCTGTTTTGGTTCTGAAGTCATACCCAGAGCAAAAAGTAGTAAAACAAAAAATTATTTTTGTTGTTAATGTCAGCAGATACGGACTTGGGGATATTGAGGAGAAAGATCTGTTTAGGAATAAAATTCCATTATTAGTAGGGTTGGAAGGATTAGATTTGTACTGGTAAATGTCAGTAAACATCAATTTCACTGTACACACACAAACCAAAGAAAAACATTTCCATCAATAATAATTGAAATTCAAAGATAGACAAAGTAAGAAAAATGCCACTTGAGAACTTCTTAAGAGTCAGAATCCAGGGATTCAGACTTTTGAATTAGGTTTGTTACAAATAGACTAGAGCAGTGACTCTCAACCTTTCCAGACTACTGTACCCCTTTCAGGAGTCTGATTTGTCTTGTGTACCCCAAGTTTCACCTCACTTAAAAACTACTTGCTTACAAAAATCAGATATAGAAATACAAAAGTGTTCACAGCACACTATTACTGAAAAATTGCTTACTTTCTCATTTTTATCATGTAATTATAAAATAAATCAACTGGAATGTAAATATTGTACTTACATTTCAGTAAGTATATAGATCATTATAAACAAGACATTGTCTATATGAAATTTTAGTTTGTACTAACTTTGCTAGTGCTTTTTATGTAGACTGTTGTAAAACTAGGCAAATATCTAAATGAGTTGATGTACCCCTGGAAGACCTCTGCGTACCCCCAGGGGTACATGTACCCTTGATTGAGAACCATTGAACTAGAGAACAAATAGTAAGAATAGGTATGATTTGTTGATTTAAGGATATTTACTTTGTATATTTTGACATGTGATATTAATAATTTATGTTTTAACAGTGTACAAATCTTTAACTTTTTGAATCTCAACATCTGTCATTAAATAATCGTCTGGCCCTCCCATAATTTCAAACAGTCATGAACATTTAAATCAATTAAAATCTAAAAAAAACCCAAAACACTTAAAAATCATCATTGACATTATCTGTCAATATTAACTGAATTCTGCCAAGCCTAATTATTAGTCACTTTTCAGAATAAAATCATACTTTAAGAAACTCGTTTGAATTTCATATGAAGGGTCTTTAAATCTGAGGGGAAAACATATTTACCTTCACATACACCTGTGATATTTTCCCATTTCTGAATTATTGTGCATTGTGAAAAATTCTTCTCTCCACTAAAATGAAATCCTTCACTACATTTATAATACACCATGCTTCCTAGAGTTGTGGAGTTGTCCCAGATCATTTCTGCGTGTGGAATCCACAAAGGTCTGCCACAGTCTATTTCTGGGGGGGAAAAAGAGAGAAGTAAAATTGACAATGGAAACAAGCCAAGACACGTCACAGGGTTTAACAAAGAGATACTACATGTTATCATTATTATTAGGGCTATCGATTAATCACAGTTAACTCACGTGATTAAGTCAAAAAAATGTATCGCAATTAATCACACTGTTAAACAATAGAGTACCAGTTGAAACTTATAAAATATTTTTGGATGTTTTTCTACATTTTCAAATATATTGATTTCTTTTGTAACACAGAATACAAAGTGTACAGTGCTCACTTTATATTATTATTTTTATGACAAATATTTGCACTTTAAAATGATAAACAAAAGAAATAGTATTTTTCAATTCACCTTATATAAGTATTGTAGTGCAATCTCTATCGTGAAAGTGCAACTTACAAATGTAGATTTTTTTTGGTTACATAACTGCACTCAAAAACAAAACAATGTAAAACTTTAGAGCCTACAAGTCCACTCAGTCCTACTTCTTGTTCAGTCAATCGCTAAGACAAACAAGTTTGTTTATATTTGCAGGAGATAATGCTGCCTGCTTCTTATTTACAATGTCACCTGAAAATGAGAACAGGCATTCGCAGGGCACTTTTGTAGCTGGCGTTGCAAGGTATTTACATACCAGATATGCTAAACATTCGTATGCCCTTTCATGCTTCGGACACCATTCCAGATGACATGCTTCCATGCTGATGATGCTCGTTAAAAAAAGAATGCGTTCATTAAATTTGTGACTGAACTCCTTGGGGGAGAATTGTATGTCTCCTGTTCTGTTTTACCTGCATTTCACGTTATAGCAGTCTCAGATGATGACCCAGCACATGTTTGTTTGGAAAAATTAGTGGGTGCTCAGCACTCTCTGTCAGCCAAGCTCCCCTCACCCCTCCCCCCCCCCCCCCCGGGGCCCCCCCCCCCCCGCCCCCCCCCCCCCCCCCCCCCTGCCCCGGGGGGGGGCCTGCCCCTCTTTTTTTTTTTTTTTTTGCAACCCCCCTCCCATGTGTCCCGATATTTTGTTTCCCTCACCTGGTCACCCTACCCCCGCCCCACCTCCTCCTCCTCCCCGAGCACCCCTGCTCCTCCGCCTACCTCCCAGGGTTTCCTGCCCAGCCGCCGCCAAACAGCTGTTTGGCAGCGTTAGCATGCTCCGGGAGGAAGGGGGAGGAGCAGGAACGTGGCGCGCTCAGGTGAGGAGGTGAGGAAGAGGCGGGGCCGGGGCGGGGATTTGGGGAAGGAGGTGGAATGGAGGCGGGGAAGGGGTGGGAAGAGGCAGAGCAGGGGCGGGGCCTCGTGAGAGGGGTGGAGTGGGGCGGGGCCAGGGGCAGAGGGGAGGGGTCGAGCACCCACTGGAAAGAGGGGAAGTCGGCGCCTATGTTCACAGCAGATTTGACAAAATACAAAGAAGGTACCAATGTGAGATTTCTAAAAATAGCTACAGCACTTGACCCAAGGTTTAAGAATCTGAAGTGTCGTCCAAAATCTGAGCGGGACAAGGTGTGGAGCATGCTTTCAGAAGTCTTAAAAGAGCAACACTCAGATGCAGAAACTACAGAACCCAAACCAACAAAAAAGAAAATCAACCTTCTGCTGGTGTCTTTTGACTCAGATGATGAAAATGAACATGCGTCAGTCCGTGCTGCTTTGAATCGTTATCAAGCAGAACCCGTCATTGGCATGAACGCACGTCCTCTGGAATGGTCGTTGAAGCATGAAGGGACATATGAATCTTTAGTGCATCTGACACGTAAATATCTTGCGATGGCGGCTACAACAGTGCAACGCGAACACCTGTTCTCACTTTCAGGTGACATTGTAAACAAGAAGCGGGCAGCATTATCTCCTTTAACTTGTAACCAAACTTGTTTCTCTGAGTGACTGGCTGACCAAGAAGTAGGAATGAGTGGACGTGTAGGTTCTAAAGTTTTACATTGTTTTATTTTGAATGCAGTTATTTTTTGTACATAATTCTACATTTATAAATTCAACTTTCATGATAAAGAGATTGCACTACAGTGCTTGTATTAGGTGAACTGAAAAATACTATTTCTTTTGTTTTTTACAGTGCAAATATTTGTAATCAAAAATAAATATAAAATGAGCACTTACACTTTGTATTCTGAGTTTTAATTGAAATCAATATATTTGAAAAAGTAGAAAACATCCAAAAAATTTAAATAAATAGTATTCTATTATTGTTTAACAGCGCAATTAATCGCGATTAATATTTTTAATCACTTGACAGCTCTAATTATCCTTATTTATTTGTACTACCATAGCGCTTAAGAGCCCCAGGACCAGGAACTCTCTGTGCTTTGTGCTGTACGGATACAGACAAACAACAGCATCAGCATTTGGGATGCAGGAATTTAGTTTGTATTGTTCCGAGCACACTGGGCCCTAATCCTCAATTAGGGCTCCTAGGTGCTATTGCAATACACATAATAAGTAGCAATACAGTATTCCACAATGGACTAGAAATGACAGGACATAGGTGTTGTAATGATGCTCATTTTGTAAAACACCACCTTGTTAAAGAGAGAGAGAGAGTTGATGACTATATTCCTGTATAATGTCTCTCTAAAGAAAGCTCACTGTTGTGATGATTATTGCTTTGTTTCTGATATTTACCTGGCCAAGGATTTGTAAACCTGTTGATACCTCCTAAATAAATAGATAGTAAAGAAAAAAAAAACTATCCCATGATGGAGTAACAGGGGAAGGTAAGAAGCACAGCATAACCTATTAACAAGAAAGGATCTCCAAGTAACATTTAACAGTTGGATCTATCACTAATGTCTTCCAATAAGATTCTCAGGTGTCCCACAAGGTATCCATTCCTTTAGATATTTCTGTTGTCAGCAACAGCTTAGAGATTCTCTGCCTGGCTCTGCCCCAACCCCAGTGTGGGTTAGAGAAACCCAGTGGCTAATCTACAAAAGCTGGTAATGATGCTCAGAGTGTTTGTTCCTTCCACGCCCCCTCCACCAGAGACTGACGGTGGTGCAGGAGCCAGCTATGACAGCTCCACATCAGGGGAATCTTTAGCTAGGGAGATGTGGGTAGTTTCTGCTCCCTTTGTACCACCCAAACAGTACAACGGCAGTGGGGACAGGACTGAGAATCTAGTCCTTGGGATATACAATTACTTTTATTCCAGATAGAGGAGAGATTTTCCATCCCAGTAGACATGTTGTTTTCATGATCCCAACATTTGAAAAATTATAAAAGCATCCAGAGGTTTGCTTTCCACTGCCAGTACATTTCATTCAAGCTTTGACAAGAAAGAATTGCTTTAGACCAGGACAAGAAAAAATCATGGAGGAAAATTTCTATGGGTTATTCAAGTCTCTGTGGAGTTCATTAGAAAATAAATGTGGTAATAACTTGAAATTGGTTCACTTACTCAGCAATTTTGTGGAGCTTCATAATAAAATTATGGAATTAAAATAATAAAAGAGAAAAGATCAAGTGAATGGAAGAATATAATTTGAAGCTAAAGTACGATGTGAAATCCAGAGTGAATCCAACACTACTATTCAGGATTATCCTTTACTTTGTTAAAAAATGAACAATGGGATGTTATATTAAGAATTAAACCATATTTTCCCTCAGGCTCACAGATGGAGGCAAGGAGAAAGCTTAAATTATTCATTGAAAAATGGGCTTAAAGTAATTCTGAAGTTGTACCCAGAAACAGATAAACAGAAAAATTAGATCAAGTTTACAGAAATCATGACCAAAACAACTTACAGTATAAAACCTTTAAGTGAAAATTTTTAAAAAAATATGTAGCAATGGAAAACAATCACACTATGATAGTTATCTTTCTGTCTCTACCTTGGTAAGCATGTATATGCTGAGAAATATTAGAATAATCTTTTCTTCCAGAACTACTGAATTATAAGCAAATGTTCAATCTCAGAGCCTTCAGTTTGAGACTACGTTATTGAAGCAGAGTGATATGTGACACTGACTGTTTTTAAAAGACTAAGTGAGGTTTTGGACAGGAGGAACTATAAGCAAGCCTTGCCTCAAGCCATCCCCCCACAGTTATCCGCCATCCCCAGCAAGACTGAAATGTAGAAGTGAGAGAGCGGTGTTTTCTGTCTATGTAATCAATCAAATGCTTTTTAGGTATCTGAGCCCTGAATTAAAACAAAGATATTGAGGCAGATTCCAAAAATAGAGGCACTTTTAGACAGTAAGACTGAAATATTGGCTAAGTACATTCATGCATAGGCTAAAAGTGATACCAAAGAACAGATGAATTAGCCATGCAGAATCAGTTCCATGAGATATTAATCATGTAGCGATTAGGAGAGTGCAACTGTGCCAAATTAAAGACTGAGTAAAGATGATAATTAAGCATAACGGAATATCAGTTAATAATAAGAGTTAATAAAGACCCTCTGACATCTACCTGCACATCTACCAATGTGATATATGCCATCATGTGCCAGCAATGCCCCTCTGCCATGTACATTGGCCAAACCGGACAGTCTCTACGCAAAAGAATTAATGGACACAAATCTGACATCAGGAATCATAATACTCAAAAACCAGTGGGAGAACACTTTAACCTGTCTGGTCATTCAATGACAGACCTGCGGGTGGCTATTTTACAACAGAAAAACTTCAAAAACAGACTCCAACGAGAGACTGCTGAGCTGGAATTGATATGCAAACTAGATACAATCAATTTAGGATTGAATAAGGACTGGGAATGGCTGAGCCATCACAAACATTGAATCTATCTCCCCTTGTAAGTATTCTCACACTTCTTATCAAACTGTCTGTACTGGGCTATCTTGATTATCACTTCAAAAGGTTTTTTCTCTCTCTCTCTATCTCTCACTTAATTGGCCTCTCAGAGTTGGTAAGACAACTCCCACCTGTTCAAGCTCTCTGTATGTGTGTATATATATCTCCTCAATATATGTTCCATTCTATATGCATCCGAAGAAGTGGGCTGTAGCCCACGAAAGCTTATGCTCTAATAAATTTGTTAGTCTCTAAGGTGCCACAAGTACTCCTGTTCTTTTTAAAGACCCTCTGAGTGGCTCTAAACTGGAATTCTGTCAGAGAACGTCTTTTTTGCTTACATGTGTTTTTCACCTTAATATGAACTTGACAGGCCACATCCCTGCATTCACAAAAAACAAAGGGCTTTATGGTTTATGTCAAATAATGAATAATAAAATGCTCACATAGTTACTGTTAGCAGCTGACAGCAGTCTAGACCTGTGGCTTGTAAAAGGATCGTAAGTGATAGTAAGGCTTTAATTTCGAAACAGTATCAGCATCAGTGTCAGATTGTGGGGATGGGCCAGAAGAGTGAGCAATAACCCCAGGCTGGAGTTGCAAAACCTTCTAGGCGGCAGCCTCCTTAGGAGGGCTGCTATTGGTCAATTTTAGAGCCTCTAAGGATGTGTCTACACAGCAATTAAACACCCACAGCTGGCCAGGATCAGCTGACTTGGGCTTCCTGGCAACAGGGCTGTAAAACTGCTGCACAGACATGAGAGGAAGGCCCCAGAGCCTGGACTCTGGCCTGAGGCTGAATGTCTACATAGCAATTATTAGCCTTTTATTCCAATGCAGATGTACCCTAAGGCTACAGGTGTATTCTTACATTGAACGATTCGTCTCAATGTAAAATTCTAGTGGTGACAAAGCAGAGTTTTATCTTGATGCAGCTACTCAAGTTCATGACCTCAGCTAGCTACATCAAGGTAAAACTATGTGCCTTCTCTACCTCCAGTAGGGTTCGACATTGAGATAGCTACGGGGGTGGGGAGGGAGAGAGGGAGGGCATTAACAGTGAAGACATAGCGTAAGGGGTGCCAGGATTGGCTAGAGGGAGGCAGGGTGCTTCGCATTAACAGAGTGATTGGTGGAGGTGATAGGATACCGAAGTAATTCCTGGTTTACAACCAGATCTTGCAAATGCTTAGGCATGAGCATAGCTTCACTCACATGAACAGACCTACATAAATCAATGGGACTACTCACATGAGTAACTTTACTCACATACATAAGTAGTTGCAAGATCTGCCTCTAAGCCACATCAGATCCTTAGTTTGTATTAAACCACAAAAATATTTTCCTGCATCTTCCATTAAAACAGGGTTTATTTTAAATATATTTAACTTTAGCAAATCCAAACAAAAACAACAATGTTTAGGTGCCAAAGAATCAAAAAGTGATACAGACTAGCCTAGTTTCATTACCAAGCCAAACAAAATACAGTAGCAAAAGGAAACAAAAAACAGTAGCAAAAGTAGATTTAGGCCCAGATTTTAATGGTATTTAGGCACTGCTGTGCTCAGCTTTGCAAAGCTTAACTGATCTGGGAGCCTATATCTCATTTTCAAAAAGGACCTAGGCACTTAGGAGTCTAAATTACATTGACAGTAGGACTTAGACCCTTAAGTACCTAAATCCTTTTGATAATGAGATGTAGGCTCCTAATTCCATTAGCGGTTGTGACATTGAGCGCAGCAACACCTAAATACCTTTAAAAAATCTGGGCCATAGGGCCAGATCCTAAAATGGTGTAAGTCGGTGTAGATTTCTGGAGCTACAGAGATTTACGCCAGTTGAGAAAGTGACACTTAGTTTTTAAAGTCATTTAGTTTTTATATTTTATGGTCTTATTAAGAATACACAGAAGAAAACTATTTAACTTATGGCTTTTATGTTGTAGGTGTCCTGTAAATGCTGCTAGAGTCTGCAGGTGAAATTCTCAACCCGGCAATGGGGAATTCTCATTGATCGCCTCTAAGTGGCGACCGCTACCGCTGGTTATTTCTGAAATAATTTCTATCGTCCAGAAATCTGTACGTATATTTTCTTTACCTTTGCACACCAGATCAGCACCTTCCCATTGTCCTTTGGCATTACAAACTGCAGTCTGGTTACCACTTTCAATAACATAACCATGCAGGCAATTATAAGCAACTTCACTTCCATAGGTGGTGGTCCCTACAGGATCTGAATATGCATTCAAGACAGAAGGTGGGACCCCACAATCCACAGCTACAAGCAAGATAGAAAAGGGGAGGGGGGGAACAACACATGAGGACATTAGAAATGTGAGAACATAAGAGGTTCATGGCTACAGCATGAGGACTTTCCATTTAAAACAAATCTAAATGAGTTCACATTTATAAAAACATGCTCTGCTACACATTGTTTGAAGTGTAAAACAACTCCATTGTACTGAATCTGCATTACACAAAGGCATAAAATACAGCAGAAGGAGGCACAAAAGAGTCCATCTCTTTGATCCAATGCCCAGCACTTATTTGTTTTTAGTGTAAGCCTTAAAAAAAAATAAAAATAAAAAAGGGTGGGGGGAGATTACCATATTTAGGTTTCCATCTGTTAGAGTGTAACAGACTGTCCTCATTTCTTCCTGGACACTACCATCATGCACAAAAATGCCCCCTACCCTCACAGAACTATGCTGTAATTTCAAATCACTCCTGATCATTAACTCCAAAAGGAAGTTATAGGCTTCCAAGACAAATTACATTCTCATCCACCTGTTTAAATCAGAAAAGAACAAAGGACCTGTGCCATTTAAAATATCCTGATGTGAAACTTGGTTCTGTGTTTGTACAGCACCTTGCACAATGGAGTACTGGTCCATTAGTAGGGCTCCTAGACATTACAGTAATACAAATAATTAATAATAAAATAATAGCAGCAGCAGCAGCATGAGATCACGGTCTGGCGTGAGATCTGGCAAAGTTGAACTAACACCCACTGTGAAGTCATCATATGAAAATACTTTGAAATCTAGTTTTGGAATAAAATGTGTGTATTCTTGGTCTTCCTGAACAGGAACAGATTGCAAACAGTTGGGGAAACATTTTATACTTGATATGGTAAAAGAGTCACCAGTGGAATTTTAAGGGCCTAAAGAATGTTTTAAATGGCTCCATTGCTAATAAGGAAGAAGCCAGGGCTGCTATTCACAAACTTGCTGATTTGTCTAAGGCCTTGGCTACACTTGAAGCTGTACAGCGCTGTGAGGTAAACCTGTCTTCGTACAGCTGAGTAGGGAAAAGCGCTGCAGTCTGTTCACACTGACAGCTGCCAGTGCAGTGGCGTGGCCACACTTGCACCACTCCCAACACAGCTGCAAATGTTGCATTATGGGCAGCTATCCCAGCATTCATGTGGCTGAAACGTGCTTTTCAAAACGGGAGGGTGGGGTGGATTGTGACAGGGAGTGTGGGGGGAGAGAGAGTGCTTTTTGGAGCATGTCAGCTCTCTATTTTGCAAGTTCTGAACTCCCGGCCCCCTGCTCATTCATTTACTCACGCAAAGCAAGCTGCAAACTGTTTGCTTTTCTCTGTGGTAAGAGCTTTGAAACCGGCACTTCCGCATTCCTGCAGCCAGTCAGAACACTTAAGGTGATTAGTACAGCGCTGCAAGCGTTTACACTCACACCTGTGAGTCGTAGCCACTCCACTGCAGCTGTTATTCCTCTCGGGGAGGTGGAGTACCTGCAGCGGTGTACCCAGGGAGATGCAGCGCTGTAAGTGCCCTGCCAGTGTGGACGGGGAGTGAGTTACAGCGCTGGGGGAGGCTTTACAGCGCTGTAACTCGCAAGTGTAGCCAAGGCCTAAGAAAAAAATTCTTATGGCAGTTCAGGAAGGGACAATTGCAATAAAAAAAGGGGAAATAGTTCATCTTTTCAGATTTTGAACAGTTATGTCAGGAGAAGGCAACTCTTGCTAGTGAAACTAGCTTTTATCAAGAAATGGACACCACATGTTTGTATTCCATGGATAGACTAAACGGAAAACAATTTATTCTGGGGAGGGCAGGAGACATGTCAGAAATGTACTGGATAAAACCATATTCTGAGGAAGCGGGAAGGAGCTCAGCTGGGATATGTTAATAGGAGTAATAAGTACATTTTGCAGAGAGTTACATGCTATTTATTGCTTTAGGCTCCAACCTGGCAATGAGCACTTTGTGGGTGGCAGGAGAGCACCAGCGCAGACTTTCATTGCAGGATCGGGGCCTTAAAATATATCCTGAAGATATTCAACTTTATCTCTTATTCAGGTTCTCAGAGGTTAGCTCTCAGTTGTTGTAGCACTAATCTTATTTCAATTGATCATTAGGTGTTAACCCCAACCCTGAGCTGGTATTCTGTTAGACTCAAGCAACTGAAAAAAAAAAAAAAAAAAAAAAAATTTGAGACAAAGCAAGATACCAGATTGGTCAAAAACGCAGTTCCACGGTGTTAAAAAAGCCAAATGCACTGGCATTTCGCTACAGCTGCCTTCCACAAATGGGGATTTCTTTGAATAGATTGTAATACAGGACCAGTGTATGCCATTCTTTACTTTTCTTTGAAAAAAAAATTCTGACTGTGATTCCAGATTTCCCATGTGATACCATTGCCTCACATTTTGTTACTTCTAACAATCAAGACCAATTTTATCTTCAATTTCCTGGAGCTCTTTTTCTGTCCTATAAATTACCTTCAGTGTTTATACCTAACCTTTTCCAGCCACATTACTGTTAGCATCTTTATTTCTAAGACGCCAACAAGTTGCCCCAGAAAACCAATCACAGATCAGAAATTGAAATCTGCTATTTTGAGGTAAAAATCTCACCTACATTAACTGACTTTTTAGGAACTGAGCCTTCTGCTTCCTCCTACCTGCTGCCAATGAGCACTTCAAGTTTCACATACCCAATGAAAGGATGCCCAAGTTATCCCAGGAAATACAGAATTCTGCATTAGTAAGTAATGATATTTTACTGTGAAATCTGATGGAGCTGGTTATTCTGTCACCAGTGCCAAGTGGAAAGGTTACTGAGCTACATGAGATGCCATTTGTTAACAGGATCTGATGACAGCCTAGTCCAACAGAAATCTTTTGTAGGAGGTTGCTCATAGACTTTTTCCATCCTGGAGACGGTGGCGCTATGGGCGGAGATCACAGATGGCCTGATACTCTATTAAGAGCTCCAGGGATGCTTAGAAGAAACCCCCACATATCTTAAGAAAAATTGATGGCTTCCCATTAAGTCAATGACACCTTCTCAACTGATGTTCTGGTCTGTGGAAAAGACTATCTGTGATGCATGTATGCAAAATGCCACAGAAATCTTGAATACTTTCTGAGCTATAGACCACAGAAGCACAGTGCTCTATGTGTTAAAATGTGAATGCAGGATCAGCTTCATTGCTCAAAATCACTGTACGTTAATGGCCGTGATGGCCCTTTTATTTCCATAATTGCAGTTAAATAAACATGCCATTGATACAGACCCACAAATGTGAGCCATAAGCGTATGTTAGCATGAGCTGCTCCTCAAACATCTAGACAAAACCAGAATAATTCACAGCTACATTGCATATTACATGTTCAAGGCCGGCTCTAACTTTTTTGCCGTCCCAAGCAAAAAAAAAAAAAAAAAGAGGGCCCCCCCCCCCCCCCCCCCCCCCCCCCCCCCCCCCCCCCCC